GTGTGGTGGAAGGTGGACAGCTTGTGTGCATCCTTTTTGGTCATTCTCCAGCATTCCGCTCCATAAAGAAGAACTGGAAAAATGATGCTCTTGTAGAGTCGGAGTTTCGTTCCTCTGCAGTAATTGTTAGATTTCCAGATTTCCCTCATCCTTCCAAAAGCAGATCTAGCTTTGTTCAGACGTGACTGTATGTCTTCCTCTGTCCCTCCAAGTAGGGACACCACACTGCCAAGATATGTGAAATGTTCTACATTTTCAAGTATACCTTATAATATATATGAAATTAAAATTTTAAAAATTATTAAATATTACAAATTCAAATGGCCTCCCATTCACAAAATACTGCGAATTTACTGGGTAAAAAGAAAAAGTAAAGATCCATTTTCACGCCTTTCGGCGCATCGGGCATATGGGCAGAGCGTCCCATATTTTTACAGACCATCAGCACTCGGTGGGTAATGTGGAATTTACTGGGTAGACAAGATAAATATTGCAAATACACTGGGTGGACAAGAAGAATACTGTGGATATCCTGGGTGGACAAGGATACTATTGCTGATTTACTGGGTGGACAAGCAGAATACTGCTAACATACTAGGTGAACAAGGATAATATGTCTAATATACTGGGTGGACAAGAAAGAATATTGCTAAAATACTAGGTGGACAAGAAGAATGCTGTGGATATCCTGGGTGGACAATGATAATATTGCTGATATACTGGGTGGACAAGAAGAATACTGCTAATATACTGGGAGGACAAGGATAATATATGTCTAATATACTGGGTGGACAAGAAGACTATTGCTAAAATACTAGGTGGACAAGAAGAATACTGCTAATATACTGGATGGACAAAGATAATATTGCGGATATCCTGGGTGGACAAGAAGAATGTTGCTAATATACTAGTTGGACAAGGACAATATTGTGAATATGCTGGTTGGATAAGAAGAATATGCTGGTTAAGTTTACTCGCTAATTTTCAGTTGAATATGTGGATACATATTTGACATTCACCAGCTAAATCTTAAATAGTTTATGTTGTACTTTCTATTTCTCTGCTGTTCTCTATATATTTATTTTTGCTTCACAATATTTTGAGCTGAAAATGGGACATCCTAAGCAAGTCAGTCAACCCTCCCCCTCCTCCTTCCCCACTTTTCATCTTCACCCCACACCCCATCTAAAAAAAAAAAAAAAAATAATAAAAGTATTTTTATTACTTTTCATTAAAGAACTAATATATTTTAAGAAGATGGGATTATATAAGCCTATCAACTGTATAAGCCATATTAATTAATTAATATTACAATTTTTTTCTCTAGCGTTCCCTTTTAGTTTGTGAAGTGTTTATAACTACACAGACATTCTTTTCTCGAACTTATTCCTAGACTTTCTGTAGAGGGTACTTAGGGGACGGCAGGAAACACACCCCAACAGCACTGGTAAAGTGAACATCGAAAGTATCGTTAGCCCGGTGTCGTGACGTCACGTCAGGCCGATGACGTCAGGCCGATGACGTCAGCACCAAGGCCAATTAATCTGGGGGTACAACCAAGACAAGAGACAAGACAGAGCGTGTTGGAGATCCATAGCAGCCAACTTTCATTGTGCAGACGGCACCTGGTTGACTGATACACCGGCCGTCTTTATTTCTCAGGATATTTTGTTCTGGTACCCAGGTCAGTTCTAAAAATGCACCTTGGTGCGGTTTCGAACTTTTCGGGTCGACAGACATGTGTCTAGCTCTTGGGCTACAATGGCTCGCAAAAACCTTTGATAAAATGGCTTCAAACTGATGTCCCATATTATCCGATAAGCTCAATAAAGCAAATGTAATTACCAAAAGTAATCGGTGCAGCCTGCTTCAAACGATTCTCCAGACGGGTCAATTCACTGACATAACTAGGAGAGTGCGAAAACACACTTTCATGATGATGTAAATATAGTCAAACTTATTCGAGTCTTAGCTTTGTGCACGCGGTCAGGGTTCTGTCGAGAGAAACGGGACCTGGTGAGGAGAAACCAGATGGAAATACGTCGATTTACCCACATGTTTACATGCCTTCCTTCAACGCAATACTGGGATATCGTAGCCCAGTGATGGTCTCCTATCTGTTTCAGGCCACGCCCGCATGGAGTATATGGCAAGACCCCCAATGAGCATCCTGCAAGATCCCTACGCCTCCCTCGATTTTTGGCAAGACTCACACGCCCCCTTGAGTACATGACAAGACACCCATGAGCCCCTGAATATTAGGCAAGACCCCCGCGCCTCTTTTGAGTACATGGCAAGGACCCCCCCCCCCCCCCCTCCCCCCTTCCGACCATTTCCACCATAATAAAACGTGATCAAAAAGTGGAGGACAAACAACAGATTCCACAAAAAGTGAAACAGACAGCGGAGAGATGCGTTTTAGTCAGAATGTTTTCCTAATCAATAATTAGATGCCTGTTACTATTTTAACTAGATTTTTGACTTTAGATATACAAATTGCTTATGAAAATGTAACCCCCCCCCCCCCCCCCCCCAATCCTGGTCTTTTTGTTTTATAGGGTTTTTGTGTGAGAAATATTTTATTATTTTATTTATAATTAAACTTGAAAAATATAACGTATTACTACAAATTCACTCTATTTCAAAACTGCTTGACGCCCCCCCCCCCCCCCGGCAACCTTCTCTCGCCCCGCACCTAGGTTGGAGATCACTGTCTTAGCGTCAAGCCTAAAGATTCAACTCGAAACTTTCTACGACCTGGTTTCATTTACTCGATCTCAGTGACAGATTATGACTTCGAATGCTTACCATATCAAAGTGTCAGCTGATGAAACTTGAACGCATACAGAATGAAGACATGCCGGTAATTCTAGGATGTACAAGAGATACCCCGGTAGTTTGTATGCGACATATACTTGCACTGCCGACTATTGCAGATAGGCTCACAGTGCTGCAAGCTAATATCAGAGTAGCCGCAGATAAGAAACACCTCCTGCATGAAACCCTAGATACTGCTAAGCAAGCTGAAGACACAGTCAGGCATGTCTGCATAGGGCGAGGAGAGAAGTGGGTCAGAATGTCCCAGCAAACGTCAGACGTGTAGGGTTATGATCACACTGGGCCGTGAGTGCAGGGCCTTGCCCAGAGAGCGCTGCAGAATCAGAAGTTTAGACACATGATTCATGACAATTCTGGACCAGATGATGTCAAAATCTATAATGGCTCTGTGTTGAGAGGCAGACGAAACTCACGGGAGTTCTTAGCAAAGTGAAAGGACGTCGCTTAGTGCAACAAAGCCTGGGATATGACACTACAACATCTAGTTTTGAGAATGGAGGTGGAGGTAGTCACTGCAGCCTTTCGCTGGTTTGAGAATCAGCTGTATACACGTGTCACAATTGTAACCGACTCAAAGAGCATGTTGAGAAAGGTGGAGACCGTTATGCTCTGTGAAGAGTGGCAGGCTTCGCTTCAGGGGTCCAGGGTATTTAGCGTCCTTTGGATATTTTGCCCCAAAAATGTCAGTGTATTAGGGAATGAATAGGCAGATAGACTGGCTGGTTCTGCACAATTTAAAGTGAATTAATGTAGACAAGCTTGATGTTGTAATGTCACTGGTGAAGGTTAAACGTACTCACTGTCACGTTTCTGGTCATACTAGGATATAAGAGACATGCCGAGGTGAGTAGTGACAGTTAAGATAACTGATGGTAGACAGTGAGGTTAACAGAAAGAGAAAATTACTGCAAATCAGCCTGGCGCGGAAACAAACTTACTTTTACTTTCAAAAGGCTGAAAATTGGGCAGGCAAACCCATCTAAAAATCTGGCTTCCCTCATGACATACATCATTTCGTTCACACATCATTAGCGGAAGATAACAATTAACTAGTGGAGCTTTTTGCGCATAAAGAAAGCAGAATAGTGCACAGCCTGATTGTGCACACAACCTGACAAGGTTCATGATGGTGCCGTTGATCTAGTACTGTACTACTTTCCAGCTAAAACTACATAGGTCAGTGTAAGAAAAAAAAAACAAATCTCCGCGTTAGAAAAAACCAATCTCCGCGTTTAAAAAAAAATAATCGCCTAGCTTTTTACTACTTTTCAGCTAAAACTACATGTGTCAGCATTAAAAAAAAAAAAAACAATTTCCTAGCTTTCCGCAATAGTTCTCACTAACCACAACAACAATATCGACCCCATAAGCCGGCACTTTTAGCCACTGTCAGGCCATGCGCATATCCACTGTCAATCAATACCAGTTTCAAAACACCACAGGGCAGATACCATTAGAAATCTATGCACCGGAGTTTGGCTAAGACGGCTTCAACATGTCCCTAATCCGGGCTTCATTCTGCCTGGCAGCTCTGTCATTACCACAGAACAACTGGAATATAATTACTGCACAATGACCTGCCGTTCTCCACTCATTCTCCCATTACAATGATGGTGATTGCTGAGCCCCCTTTCAAAAGCATGCCTATTCTCCAAACCGGAAGCTGACGTCATAACCAGAACTCCAACAACCCATGCATTAACGGCAGCTTTGAAAATTCAATAGTCGTGTCGGGTCTAAAATTCGATACCCGTGTCGGTCAAAATTAGAAGCGAGCTGCCTGCAGTTTGAAGCTACGCCTAATGATAACCTTTTCTATGTGAACAATTTCTCTGAGAGAGAGAGAGAGAGAGAGAGAGAGAGAGAGAGAGAGAGAGAGAGAGAGAGCACATGTTATCTTCACCAAAGATCTCTCAAACCAACAAAGAGAAAAAGGTAGGGGAGTTAAAGAGAATGTCGGAGTCTTCTTCTGCGTTCACCTGGAGACGTAACTGCGTTGTGCCCCCTTACAGCATATATCGGCCGACACATCCGACTTCTGCAGGCATTTGTTGACCGGGTTAGCCTTCCCGGGAATGGGGAAGTCGAAGATAATAGGGGAGCTGGAGAAAGGAGGATAGTTCACAAGAACCAGGGACAGCCAACGGATAAACATGTCCTACCTGAACCGGCCTATTCTCCGTAAATGTGAGAACATCTCTCCGCCGGTGACGAATTCCAGAACCATATACAAATTAGAATTGTCCTGCAGACAGAAGAAAACACAACATTATTTATGGGTGATAGCAGGAAATATTCTGAAGTTATGTGCATATTTAACATATAAAAGGAGCCTCTGTGGGGTAGCGGCTAGACGCTCGCCTGCGGATCCGAAGGTGGTGGGTTCAAATCTGGAGGGAGCTGGACTTTTTTTTTTTAAACTACTTTAGCTCCTACGTTGACAGAGCCTTAGGTAGATTCGTGAGAAGTAAAGGCTATCGGTGAACCCCATAACATCATCTTCCCCCATCACATCATCTTCCCCCATCACATAATCTTCCCCCATCACATCATCTTCCCCCTTCCCTCTAGTCCTACATGCACAATGCGCCTGAAGACATGAAAAAGGGTCACTGACTATATGGCCAATAATTAAATTATACATCCAAGTACTATCACAGAGGTAGAGACGACGTCATTCATTGTCCAAAGTTTTCTCAACCCAACTTTTTTTCATCGCCGAGTTCTGGCTGATTGTGCAAGGAAATGTCACAGGTTGTTTTCATTTGACAATTACAAAATTGCATAGCGTGTTTTCTCTTGACCTTGGGTGCTCTCGTTCTTGGCTATTTATTTTGCCGCACTTGACACTGATGAAACGGCCGCTTAATGGGAGTCTTATGTTCGGGTTTTATTTCTCGTTTACTTCATTTCTTCGGTCGTGGGGAGAGAGAGAGAGAGAGAGAGAGAGAGAGAGAGAGAGAGAGAGAGAGAGAGAGAGAGAGAGAGAGAGAGAGAGAGAGAGAGAGAGACACACACAAATACATTCACATTTAGCTGTGATCATGGTCTTCTTTGTTCAGGTGATTTTTGCGTGTATTCAAGTGATATTGTTAGTTATTTGTGTGTTTACTACTGAAGGAGCAACTCATCTTAGGTAAAGACAATCTTGGACCGTTATCTCATGTATTTTATCCAGACATATATTTCAATATGTAGCTATCAGCGTTGGATGTAAGTCTTTGTCATTTTTGCCGCTTGCTGGTATATTTCAATCTTTCCGGACGATACTGTTATAGAGAGGCGTCATAGCCTATAGCGTTGGCAAGTTTCTTTCTCTCCACAGCGTTGTCCAGTGTCTTTCTCTCCACAGCGTTGTCGAGTGTCCTCCTCTCCACAGCGTTGTCGGGTGTCCTTCTCTCCACAGCGTTGTCGGGTGTCCTTCTCTCCACAGCGTTGTCGGGTGTCCTTCTCTCCACAGCGTTGTCGGGTGTCCTTCTCTCCACAGCGTTGTCGGGTGTCCTTCTCTCCACAGCGTTGTCGGGTGTCCTTCTCTCCATAGCGTTGTCAGGTGTCCTTCTCTCCACAGCGTTGTCGAGTGTCCTTCTCTCCACAGCGTTGTCGGGTGTCCTTCTCTCCACAGCGTTGTCGGGTGTCCTTCTCTCCACAGCGTTGTCGGGTGTCCTTCTCTCCACAGCGTTGTCGAGTGTCCTTCTCTCCACAGCGTTGTCGGGTGTCCTTCTCTCCACAGCGTTGTCGGGTGTCCTTCTCTCCACAGCGTTGTCGGGTGTCCTTCTCTCCACAGCGTTGTCGGGTGTCTTTCTCTCCACAGCGTTGTCGGGTGTCATTCTCTCCACAGCGTTGTCGGGTGTCCTTCTCTCCACAGCGTTGTCGGGTGTCCTTCTCTCCACAGCGTTGTCGGGTGTCCTTTCCACAGCGTTGTCGGGTGTCCTTCTCTCCACAGCGTTGTCGGGTGTCCTTCTCTCCACAGCGTTGTCGGGTGTCCTTCTCTCCACAGCGTTGTCGGGTGTCCTTCTCTCCATAGCGTTGTCGGGTGTCTTTCTCTCCACAGCGTTGTCGGGTGTCCTTCTCTCCACAGCGTTGTCGGGTGTCCTTCTCTCCACAGCGTTGTCGGGTGTCCTTCTCTCCACAGCGTTGTCGGGTGTCCTTCTCTCCACAGCGTTGTCGGGTGTCTTTCTCTCCACAGCGTTGTCGGGTGTCCTTATCTCCATAGCGTTGTTGAGTGTCCTTCTCTCCACAGCGTTGTCGAGTGTCCTTCTCTCCACAGCGTTGTCGGGTGTCTTTCTCTCCACAGCGTTGTCGAGTGTCCTTCTCTCCACAGCGTTGTCGAGTGTCCTTCTCTCCACAGCGTTGTCGGGTGTCCTTCTCTCCACAGCGTTGTCGGGTGTCCTTCTCTCCACAGCGTTGTCTAGTGTCTTTCTCTCCACAGCGTTGTCGGGTGTCCTTCTCTCCATAGCGTTGTTGAGTGTCCTTCTCTCCATAGCGTTGTTGAGTGTCCTTCTCTCCACAGCGTTGTCGAGTGTCCTTCTCTCCACAGCGTTGTCGAGTGTCCTTCTCTCCACAGCGTTGTCGAGTGTCCTTCTCTCCACAGCGTTGTCGAGTCCTTCTCTCCACAGCGTTGTCGAGTGTCCTACTCTCCACAGCGTTGTCGAGTGTCCTCCTCTCCATAGCACTGGCATGTCCTCGTCATCATGGCGTTTTTAAAAAAATGCAATGCAACTTTTTACGTCGCTGACGCATCGGACATACAGTTGATAGGCACCTTACCGTTTTTTTCTGGACGACAGTGTTATACTGCGCTATAAGGAAGCATGGCACTCACAGCCCGTGGCGATGGCGAGTGTGACTAGCAAGACCTGTCCGCAATTACAGAATGGGATTTCAGGACCATTGCTGTTAATATCTGTTTCTTCTCCGACGCTCAGCTCTTATTCTTTCTGCAATCATTTCTTCCTTCATTCTCATTCCCTTCCTGATGTGTCCCTTTCATACAACACGGTCCATGCATTTTGTTCCCAGGAGTCAATTTTCCACCCGTCTTTACTTCACCATAAAACATGTCCTTAGGGACTCTGCCATCCTCCATTCTCCAGGTGTGACCCCGCCACCTTAGCGTGTGTAGACTGAGCACTGAAAAGACTGCTGTAACACGTGCTCTTTCCAATACCTCAGTGTTTGTGATCTTGTCCTGCCATTTAATGCCAAGTATTCTTCTTAAGCATCGCATGTGAAAGCTATATAGCCGCCGCTCTTGCTGCAAATAAGTTGATCAACTTTCACTGCCATAAAGCATAGTGCTGAGAACACAAGCCTGATAGACAACAGTTTTTGTTTTAATCGTGAGCTTTCTGTTGTCCCAAACTCGTTTGCTTAATCTGTTCATGGCTGTCGCTGCCTTACCTATCCTGGTGTTTATTTCTTGATCCAGTGATAGTTTCTTATTTACTGTGGATCCCAGGTAGACAAAATGGTCAACTGTCTCCAGCTCTTCACCACCAAAGTAGACTGCAAGTCTATCATTAACACCTTGCATCATAGCCATTGCCTTCTTTATGCTGATTGTCAGTCCAATTTCACAGCATGCATCAGCAAAACCTTCTCTGAGTGGGTGGTTATTGCTGCACTATCAACAAACAGCAGCTCTCTGATAAGTACGAGCTGTAAAGGCTGCCGTCAGATCTAGAATGGATTAATATACCACCCTCCTGACCTCGAAAGGCATGTTACAAAATAAGTGAGAAGTATATTCAAAAAAGGTAAGAAGCAAGAACACATCCCTGCTTTACTCCGTTCTTTATTACAAACTCCTTCGATGTTACACCATCAAAGCTGATTGTACCTTTACCCGTGTGGAACAACTCAATTATGCTCAGTATGGTAGGTGGACACTAAATCTTTTTCACTGTACTGAACAGACCTTTTCGACTAACCAAATCAAATGCCTTGGTAAGATCAATAAGCAATAGACAGTGGTTGATTTTGTTCATCAAGGTATTTTCAGCGGTAGGCTGTGTAAACCTGGTCTCCAAGGATCTGGAGTCTTCGCATAATTATTTTCGTAAGTACTTTTCCAACAGTACACAGCACTAATATTCCCCTGTAGTTACTGCAGTCACGCAGATCACTCTTGTTCTTGTACACAGTTATGATAGGGCACACATAAAAGGACCATTTTTCGCGCCTTCAGGCAAATTGGGCACACATGGCTAGATGTATATTTTATATTACAATCAGCAATCGATGGGTGATGCGGTCAACATCCCGCCGACCGCCTTTACTTCCAAAGATATTAACTGGTGACCATTTTAAGCAGGGTCGATCTGGGAGCAGTGGTCAATTTTTAAAGACTGAAAAAAAAAAAAAAAAAAAAAATTCGCCTCAATGTGGATTTCTTAGTTTTAGTGTTCCCGGCTGTAAACTCATAAAGTTCTGGTGTTTCGTCCACTTCTCTTCCCAGAACGCAAATTTTGCGTGTTCATAAGTGTTACATAGCTGGCTTATTTGTATGCAGACTGTTGGTTCCTTGCCTCTTAAGCAGATGCACTTTGACTTCGAAGGAAGCAACCCTAATTAGTCGCCTCTCTCTATATCTGTCTGTCTGTCTGTCTCTCTGTCTATCTATCTATCTATTCCATGCGATGTCTTGATAATTTTTTTTTAAACTAAAGGTTCATATTATTGTTTAAAACTGAAGATGCCAGTCGAATGCATTCCAATGTTTGTAACTAATATTTAACTGGTTTTGATGATGTTTATATTATGCAACCTGTCAGACTTACATCATTTTTGGAATAGGCTTATTCGTATACTCTTTAAAACATTCAAGTAATGTCAGTATAAATTGGAACACATTCCAGCATGTGTACTTAGATATTGTACACTTTTTTCCCCTTTCTTTTTTTTTCCCCTTTTCTATATTTCTTAAATTTTTAATTTTGCATTCCTCTTATTATTATTATTACTATTATTATTATTGTTATTATTATTAACTATCGCTAGCTCGCTCGATCGATCGATCGATCGATCTCTCTCTCTCTCTCTCTCTCTCTCTCTCTCTCTCTCTCTCTCTCTATCTATCTATCTATCTATCTATCTATCTCTCCCCCTTTTTCTAAAGTTCGTTCATTCTTCCCCAAAAATGGGCTCCGGAACGCACAAGAGGAAATGCGGATTTCAAAACTTGTCCTTCAGGCTGGCAACAGAGCGTACAGCCATTACACTGGAGCCGATCCTCCATAGCCCAAAGCTTAGGCACTGTTGTAGAGACCATGTGATTTATATGCAACATGATGTCTCTCTCTCTCTCTCTCTCTCTCTCTCTCTCTCTCTCTCTCTCTTGTTTGGGGGGGGGGGGGCATGTGTGTATTAAAAGCGTTCTCTGTCAATTCAAACTATAATTTTTGTCTACTCTTTATTAACATTTATTTTTCTTTATCCATTTTTAAAAAAAAATACGGATTGTATAGCTCCATTTGATTTAAAAGAAAGAAAGAGAGAGACAGAGAGAGAGAGAGAGAGAGAGAGAGAGTGAGAGAGAGAGAGAGAGAGAGAGAGAGAGGCAGACAGACAGAAGGAGGAGGAGGAGAAGAAAAAGAAGAAGAAAAGAAGAAGCTAATGATGCCACTGTTAAGACATAAATTCTTGGCAAGTGGATGGCGCTTGACCCGCTAGGCTAACTTTATCAGGCCGGCTAATCAGGTGCTGAAAAGTTTAGCGCGGGAAACTGTATACCCATCATCAAAGAGATGAGCTGTGCGAGACACACTAGATTTGTAAAGTGAGGAGGGTACAGGTTACATGGAGCTTTCAGTAATCTTCTAGCTTAAATAGAGCTGTGGTGACTGTTCCTCCATGCACAGAACTTTTCAAAGCTTTGTTATAATGTACAGATAACGATTCGATAAGATTTCTCCCAGCAAGCATAATATAATATACACTCATCATCATGTAGCAGGTCCTTTGCAGAATGTCGCTCTCATCAGTCTGCCCGAAAGAAACTCGGTCTCTCGCCAGTTCTCCCACCTCATGCACTTTCACACTCAAGGAGTCACTTATATCCTGTGCCCATCTTCGTGTCGGTCGGCCCCAGCCCCTCCTTCCTGGTACCATGCCTTCTGCTATAGTTTTTTTCCAATCCGTCGTGGCGCTTGATATGACCATAATATTTCAGCTTTCGAGAACAATATACACTACTGAAAAAAAAAAAAAAAAAAACAATGCACAGCTACTGATGTGAACAAACTGTTGTCATAGTTTTCACACTCAAAAGCTTTGCAGTTTATTGAGTGACATGTTTCAAACTGCATACAAGAATACGTTACGGATTTAGCCAATCAACTGACGGTTCTTTCCATCTGGAGCTTGGAAGGTTTTTAGGTGTAAGAGCTTTCTGGACATCTAATAAAAACGCACCATCGAAAAACTTTACGGTTCTTTTTTTGAACAGTATACTTCTGACGTGTATCAGATTTCATGAATTAGAGACAATTTAAAAAGAAGAGAAGATGGGGGGGGGGGGGGGCAGCCTAGTAAGTCTTCTTATGCTACTTGTTTAATAGTTTTGCAGTGCACTCGTAAGAGTCACACTTTCACCACTTTAACCAGAATTCGAACGCAGTTCTCCTCAGTAAGATTCAAACGGTCTAATCACGATTCCAGCCGCCCCTCTCCCATTAACGTGCACTAGTTATAAAAGAAGTATGTATAACACGTAGCACTAAGAAAACTAAAATTAAAGACAATTTCTTCAATGGAAGTCAGAGGAAATGTATGAATGTGGCTCATTAAAGCAAATTCTGGAGAATGTTTCACAAGACTATCCAAGTCTTTGTTAGAGAGCAAATCTGGCCAAAAGAAGTTACTCTTTTCGATTTCAAACTGCCAAGAGATTTTTTACGTGCACAACAATACACACTGGCGTCCATAGGAAAAAAATTCCAGGGACTTGAACCCAGGACTTCCAGCACTCTTGGCGGATTCCACGCACCCCCTATAAGGGGCGCTCGTGGAGACCTTAAAGCCTCACCGTACTTTTGTGATCAATGATGAGATAGATGCATAAGAAATATCAATCGCTGAAGAAGACAAAAAGAAACTTTTTGTGAACATCCGATATCCCAAAACAACGCGTATACAGCTGAAAGGACCATATGGGATTTCCTCCTGCTGGACTGCCATCCAAAAAAAGTGAATCTTTGAGCCAGTGAGTGTCAAACCTTCACACTACAATGCTGGTTCTAACAACCAGTCACAGTACCCATCAATAAAGTTATTTGCCAGTAATAACCTGTACAACATAACTCTGATGCCCGCACATATTAACACAAGCCAAGAGTACAACACAAAGACACAATAATACTCACTTTAAAGGAGTATTCTAACTTGACCAAAAAGGGGAAATTGATTGACTGCAAAATTTTCTTCTCATTGAGTGTGTGTTCTACTTGCTTTAATTTCACGACCTGGAAAGAAGAAGAAAAAACACAACACACTTAAACAGTTCCATATCAGCTTCTACCAACGTACAGGCTACTAAGAGCTAGAACTAATATTAGGGCCTTTGTATTAACGCATGGCATCGGCACTCACCCACACAGGGCTAAAAGTTACTTAGTAACCGTTTTGCGGTTAGTTAGTCAGTCTTTCCTCTTGAGCCTAAGGTGGCGCATAGGGTAGAGTGATGATCGGCTCCAGCTGACGTGGAGCCGGCCGTGGCAGAGGTCATAGCTCTTCGTGTCTGGCGGTTCGTTGCCACCTGTTTTAGGTCTTGGATATTCATTAGGCCCATAGCTGAGTCTTCCCTGATGATGGTTCTACGCACTCTTGGTCTTCCCAGTTTTCCCCTCCCTTCCGGTGTCCATGTGAGGGCTTGATGAGGGAGTCTTGACTTATTCATTCTGAGTGCATGGCCAATATAATTCCAGCGTTTCTTTCTTATGTGGTCAACGCCTTTTGAAAGCGAATAAACACAATGTTGAAGTACAAATAGATCATCAGAGTCTGAACGTTTTGCGCTGCCCCCATATAAATAAATGTGCTATAATGTTCTATTGTTGAATGGGGTTTCCAGGATCTGCATCTGTTTGAATCTCATTCTTGAGATGCCTAAAGGCTGCAATCCTGGAAGCGAAAAACTAAAAACAAAGAGAACGGGGGGGGGGGGGGGGGGGGGGGGGGGAACACACATGGCCTCGTTTACAGGAAAATATACATCAATGCTCACAGGACCCAGAACCTCCAATAATGTTCTTTGTTTACAGCACTGCTGTTTATATTTTCCAGATATGCTGCTGTATAATAGCCAGTTCTCTTTGATGTTCAGGCTGTGCATAATGTGGTATCGTTTCTTCTTTATTTTTTATTCGCAGTATATAAAAAAATTAAATTTAAAAAAAAAAAAAGATCTACTGCAGTTGAGTTCAAAAGTTCACACTTCCTTCTTTCGGGATTACAAAATGGTTCATGACTCATTCATCCACATTTCGCTACAGGAAAGATGCATCTTCTTAAAACGTTTACTACTTTAATCTGTTTGCTTGTGTTGTGCCAATTGATTTTAATGTTTAACCTTCTGTACCATTATATATTTTCATATATCCACAAATATCAGTCTTCCTTCCCATACGGTGATGCTGCTGAGATAAGCTGCAATTGATATCACAGCCCTCAGAACACACACATAGGCATTCCATTACCATCTTCAGCAGCCAGTTAAGTTAGTTGCCTATTCTTAACAGGACATTGCAGAACCAACCCTAGTATTTTTCTGGCTGTTGTAGTTTTTCTAGGCAAATTTACATCCAGTAGTTCGCCATTGCTTTTTACATCCCGCTATTTACAGATATTAAGTAAAAGAATCAACAATTTAACAGCATAGTAGTAAAACTTACATATGTTTAGAAAAGGATAAACAAATATTTGTAGAAGCTCGAAAAATTCCAAAGCCATCTACAGTCTGTTACGTTTATTTCGCCTCTCACTGGGTCAGGAATAAAAATTAGATTACCCAAAAATAATCCCAGAGGTAGGTGGTAACTGCTGGCTAACAGCCACAAATTTCAAGGAAATGAGATTCTGCTTACAAGTACTTGCCAATGAAAATAAACTGGTGCTCCAACACCCACAGAAAAAATATCACGAAGTTTACTATTTACAATTTGGCAGCAGAACGTCTCTCGTTGGTTTCGACCTTGTATTGAGAGCTAACCATTCAGGAAGCAGTGGCAAACTACTAAACGAAAAATGTGCCTAGAAAACCACAACAGCCCTAAATATGCTGGGGCTGGTTCTGCAACAACCTGTAAAGGATACACAGGTTAGTTGCGTATCCTGTACAATAGTTTGCCATTGCCTCCTGGACGGTCGGCTTTCTTTATACCACTGTCGAAACCAACGCAAGGCGCATGGACCGCAGCTGGGATCGAACCCGGCATCCCGGCATTACGAAGCATTCGCATCGACTTTGCCACAGAGCCGACAAAGGATACACAACTAACTTCATATTATCGACAACTTACATAATTGCAGTCAGCTTTGTTCAAAGAAACCACATTAATCAAACGCTTACCTTCTGTTTGTCTAGAATTTTCATGGCATAGAAGCCTTTGTCATCACTTTTGTGCTGCACTAGCATCACCCGGCCAAATGAGCCAGTTCCTAAGGTTTTGATTCGATCAAAGTCATCTAAGGATGCACTGCTCTGAAAAAAACAGAATGAGTTTGTCTGTTAGCTAAGGCAAACACGGGTTACAATATGTCTGTCTCTATTTGTAGCAGTGTTAACAAAGGTGAGGTGAAGTATAGGACCATTTTCCACGCCCTTAGGCTTTTGGGCATATATGTCTAGACCGATACTTTATAGACCAACTGGCACTTGGTGGGTGATGTCATCATCACACCGGCCAGCTTTACTTCCTATGACTTTCTTCTGGTATCCACTCAATAGTCGGATCCACCTGGGAGCCAATGTCATTTTTTTAGTATAAAGTCAGGCTCTGTTCGTTAACAAAGGTAGAAGTAGCTAAATACGTTATCATACAATAGTGTCATACTGAGTAATATGCGTGACAAATCTTCACAATTTACAGTTAAAAGACACTGGTATACTCACACAAACTTGAATAACACACAACACACCTGATGGGCTCGACAAGGAAAAGGATAGAGACCCACACAGATACAAATGAATATCTCAGTTAGGATTCAGATGAATTCTACATGAGAACAACAAATTTCCCGCGTGGGTTCCGGAGCCCCATTTGGAGGAAATGTCCCCTAAAAAGCATGTCGTAAAAGTCGACTAATAAGGGGTGTTTCCTCCCAAGTCGCAGTGTATCTGCATGAGCGGCGAGAAACCAACAGTCTGCTTACAAATATGCCAGATATGTAACACGGATGTGCATGCAAAACTCAAGTTCTGGAACAAGACCAAAGTCCAGAAATGGACGAACACAAAAAAATTCCGCCAAGTTTACAGCTGGGAAAGGCTTAAAGAAAAGCAGAAAAAAACGAGAACAAGCAATTTGTGTGAATTTGTAGTTTTATCAGTGTATCTTTTGTGTGCCTTATTTCTTTCCTTTTGTAGTGTTTTCTTTTCTTATAATTCTTTATTACTATTCTTTCTTCTCTTGTTTCAGAGCCACATTTTTGAAGAGGCAACAGGTGAGCGTCCGTGGCTAAGGCGTTGCGAGTCCGACTCGTGTGTACCGCGCGCGAAACCCACTGCAGGCTGCGTGGATTTTTGTCGTTATGGGACCTTCGCAGGTCGACCCAGCCTTTATGTAGATACTGGCATGGGACGCTCTCGAATACGCCTAAAGGCGTGGAAAGGGATTTACTATCCAGGTGGCTTAATGTGTGTGTGCGCGGCAGCCTACAGCTCTGCTCTATCGTTCTACAGCTCTGCTTTTGTTCTGTCAAAGTGACAGACAAATATGTGCTGCACTATTTGTCTTGTCCGAAACATTTGACTGTTATCTCTTTACTTAGTTCAGCACTTGCCCCAACATGTTTCTTGAGATCGTCACTTCTGATTGTCTTTTTTTTTTTTTTTGCAGAGATTGATAGTCGGTTTTGTTTTGTGTTTATTTTGTAATCTTTCAGTGCATCGGTGTATGCAAGATAAGTAATAAAAGCTTAAAGTAGACAAAAATTTTTTAGCTGACCTGCAGTCAGCCCTATTTTTGATATCAGGTCAATCACCAGGCCTGATTAAAGCAAAGAAAACCGTTTTGGTCATTTGAACAAATATTATAAACCTACAAAACGCCACAGTAAATTCCCACCCTTCAAATAAAGACTATACGATAAGGAAAGAAGTTATTTTCAATATAACTAACAATGTCCACAATAAATGTCTTTTGATAATAGCATTAAAATAGTAAAATCAATAAACTTCTCTCTTCTTCGTCGCCTTCACAGATTCAGCGGAAAGTTCCAGTTATTTGTCCACTTCTGAACTTTAATCCTGTTGCAAAGCTTATTTTTCGCGTGCACATCCGTTTTGCAGATCTGGCTCATGTGTGTGCAGTCTGTTGGTTTCTTGCCTCTTAGTAGGATGCACTCCGACTTCGAATAAAACACCTCTAATTAGTCGGCTTTTACGACGTGCTTGTTAGAAAAACCACAACAGCCAAAAAATGCTGGGGTTGGTTCTGCAACGTCCGGTAAAGGATACGCAACTAACTTTTGTTAGGGAAAAGGGAAATTGGGGTGTTTATTCTCCCCGCTCCCCTCAAAACCTACATAAAGAACCGAATGAGCTAACAGAGTGAAAGTAAAGTACAATAAAAAAAAAAGAAGCTCTGAAATAAAGACAAATACCAACAACAACAATAACAACAACAACAACAATAACAACAACAAATGTTGTGCACGAAACACTGCAGAAACGGCAACAATGACACATTGTTCTCCCCAAAGCGGTTCTAGAGTTGTGGGATCCAGCGACTGATAAAATGAGTCAAACAAAAACAAAGCAAAGTATGGGCATACTACAACTGTTGTCATATCGAACTACTGATATAAGAATAATTTGGAAACAAGTCGGTTCTTGCATTTAAATTCACGCCCCTCTCGGAACCCCTGAGATTTCGAGGGCAATTTCAGGGAAAGTCCAATATTATGGGGGAAAGGGGAGGGGGTTGTTTGGTGTTAATTTCACACCCTAACACCCCTATACTATTTTTTGACTTTTTCGGGAATTCCCGATGAAATCTCGGAAGCCCCATCTTCTTAATGCTAGTAATAGCACAGCACTTTTTAACGTTTACAAAGCACATACACTTTCTTGATGTTGTATAGCAAACATATTTTCTCAGTAACTATGTAGCACAAATTTTGTGAATGTGTGTATAGCGCCCCTTCCTGCCTCTTTCCGTTAAAGAAAAACAATCTGACAGAGAATTCAAATACATGGTCAAATCCATCTAAAGTAGTAAATCACACTGCCCACAGAAATCCT